CTCCGTCTCCTGGTCCAGCAGGAAGCGTAGGCCGTGCACAGACGCGTAGCCACGCCAGAACTCCACCTGGACACGCCCTTCCTGCAGTCCCTGTCAGCCTTGCTATACCTTCGCCAGACTCCCATCAGGCAGGATGAGCAGGGAGAGGAGGAGGAGGAGGAGGAGGAGGAGAAAGAGGAGGAGGAGGAGGAGGAGGAGGAGGAGGAGTGATGAGGAGGAGGACAGGGACGAAGAGGAGGAAGAAGAGGAGGAGGAGGAGAAAGAAAGAAAACTCTGGGGCGCCACACCGTCTGTCTGACTGAGAGCAGAGTGTGCCTAGGTTCTCTTACTATAGTCCAAGCGGGCCGCTAGCGTGCGGGCCAGCGCAGAGAGGCTGGCACGGGCCCAGCGGCGCACCCAATGGCGCGCAGCCAAGCGGCTGCCACCATCAGCGCCGGTCTCACGAGCAAATCGCGCCTGACCGATACACATATGGAACAGCAGGCGGCACCAGATGAGAGAGCGCGCCTAGCACCGCCGAAAGGAGAGAGGACGGAAAGCCGCCAGAGACATTCAGAACGGGGGAACCACGGGCCCACCCCCACCCCGAGGGGCTCATTTGGCGGCCCCCTTTTCCCAGCCCCCTTGCACCCCGATCGCGGGTGGTCGGCGGCCAGCAACAGCTGGCCCCATGTCTGGAGCATTCTGAACTGCGAGAAAGGGATGAGAGGAGACGGCAGGGGGCTCAAGGCCAGGAGGGGGGGGGGGGGGGGGGAAAGCATGAGGCATCAGCAGAGTAGAAGGCCGGGGCTGCGACAGGTCCAAGACTCGACTCGAAGCCTCTTCTCACAAGCTCCCAGCTCTGAAAGTGGCCAGTGCCCACTCGCTCCGACTCCAGTCGGATGCATGATTACGAGCTGCTGTCGGGACTACTTCGCCTGATCCTGGAGACGCTAAGCCTCTCGCACTAGGACCCCTCGAGGCGCGCCTCCGATCATCTTGTTGCCTCCTTCGGATGCCAGGGTGGCCCTGGTCTTGGACTTGGCCCCTTTGCATCTGCAGTAGCGAATCATGTCCACCATCTCCATATCCATCTCCATGGGCGGTCCATCTTCATCACCCTCCCCTGGCAGTACACTCGAGAGCTGGTCCCCTCTCTGGCTGGAGACCCATCGTTCCCTCCGGAGTAATGGAAGCCCCCTGGATGAGCGCCGTGAACGCCCTGAGAATGGCGTGCACAGTTTCTTCTTCTTTTCGAAGTTGGCGTTCCCATCGCGCTCCACCTGCTTCCCCTTTTCCATCTCCTCCTGTGCCTCCGAGTTGAAGTCCTGGTTCCCCTCGAACATGAACTGGCAGGCGGGCGCGCCCTGCTCGCACAGCCACGCGTCGTAGATTGCCCCGATGAGCGCCCGCAGCTCCACCTCGCCTGCGAGCGTCAACTTGCCAATGACCACGACAAGCTCGTCGATGGACTGCGCCCCGTTGACCTTGCCGCCTCCGTTGCGCACCACCTATCCTGCTAACGCCTGCCCGCCGGCGTTGGCCGTCTTCTGCAGCGGGGTGGATGCGCCTTTTTGGCCACCCGAGACGGCCGAGAGAGGGCCGTCAAGCGGGTCGCCGCCAGCAGGTACGCAGCAATGAAAGGGCTGATCATAGATACGAAGTAGGAGGAAAATGCATGCGGACGCGCTGCTGAAAACTCAAAAGATCGCCACCCATGAGTTTCACACAAGTGGCATTGGAGGCCAGATACTTCACGCAGCGGTTCTCGCCCAAGCCCTCCACCGCTATAGCAACAATCCCGATTCATAGATCCCAAGAGGTGCCCACTTGCCGTGATAGTGCTCTAAAACAGCGGAGCGGCGGCCAGGCATCCGCCCAGCGGGGCGGCTCCATGATGCGCGAAGCGCGAGGGGGGTCAGAAATTCATCGGACAGTGACTCGTTGAAACAAAAAGCATCATGCGACGTGGCAGAAACGTCTGAGAAGCAACGCGCGGGCTGGCAAGCAAGGAAAAGGCGGGGGCGCGGGATTCCTGACACTACGGTCCAGCAGCCACCCGCAGAGGCCGAGCCTCACAAACGGGGCGGCGGCCGCCCAGCCGCGACCAAGCCGCGGCGGGGCAATGACCGCCCATCAGCGATTAGCGGGGCTCGAAACGAAGCGACAGGAGACACGGGACAAGGAGGGGGAAGGAGGGGGCACGAGGGCCGGCAAGCAGAGAAAAGGCGGGGGCGCGGGATGCCCGACACTACGGCCTAGCAGCCACCCGCACAAGCCGAGCTCCAAGAACGGGGCAGAAGAGAGCCGCGATGATCGGCGCATGGCGCCTTGGAATGCGCACCATCTGCACCGACCAGCTCAAACGCCGAACTCGCAATTCAAGACATGCAGAGGTGAACCGCCAGCGCCCGTGACCCGCGCGTTTGCATGGACACGCGCACGCGCGCCCCCCATGCGACCCCCCACCCCCACCCCGCCCCCACCCCCCCACCCCCCATCATAGCAACGCGGCAATGCTTGGCACGGATGGCATCCACGCGTTCACACTGCGCCCCCGTTATAAGATAAGCCCCATCGGTAATGACACCCGCGCTCTGGGCCCCCATCAAACGCTCCTCCCCAACCGAAAAGCCATATCTTTAGACGACCAAAGCTTGCCCCAGGAATGGAAACTGGCCTGCAAGGACGAAATAGGTCAGTACCCTCCACTGATACCTCTCCCGCAACATGAAAAGGCCCCCCGAATACACGCGCGCAGGGCGAAACGCCCTCTAGGGGGGAACATGGTTTAGACAATAAATAAATAATATACAAAATTGATAGCAGCCCCTGAGACGTCGACCAGCACCAGCGGAGCCCTGGCTCACGAGCGAGACGATCGCGCGCTGCTTCGCGCAGTTCTGCGCCCACCCCCCCATCGCCAGAGCGACGTCCAGCATCTGGTTGGAACCATGGTTAGCGCCAGCATGCAAAAGGCAAGCGTCGCCCGAAGTGGACGCTTGGTCAAGTCATCGGCATATTTGGTGAGACTCAGGCCATCCGCGATGCGATTCAATGGACGCTCGGCTGCCACTGGACGGGCCGAAACGACCGAGTCGAGCAACTCCTCGCTCTGCTCATCAGCGGGATGCTCATATGCTCTCCCGGAACCCCCCACTGCATAGGGGGCGCCCATCAACGCCCCGCACTTAGAACGAACAACCAGAAGGCGATCTCTAGTCGGTAAAGCTTTCGTAGATGACCGAAAAACGTTCAATTCCAAATGGGCGCTATTCCATGCCATTCAGAATTCGGCTGCTCGAATACTTCCCAAGAGGTAGCAGGGAACACGTTACTGAGGTCCTTGCTGGACCAACAGGCAGTAATCCGCAGGCAGAGGCCGATGTAACAGTATATTGATAACCGTCGTAGCCCCTTCCTTCCCCCTCCCGCGAGAGAAAACCGCAGGCGCATGGCCCCAAGGGTTCTGCCTTAAGTTGGCGCATGGCACTCGCGAGCCAGGCTTTGCCAAGAGGGTCGAGCAAGTGAATCGTCCTCCTCCCTATTGGTCCGGGCAAGCTGCCAAAGCCATGGCCCCAACGGCGTGGAAAGCGTCCAGCGAAACGAATGCACATGAGGTCGCGCTGGAGCGTCTCCTGCAGCTGGGTAGCCTCGAAAGGAACGTCAGCGCCGATCCCGCGCCGCCCTTCTTCGCGCCTGGGCCAAGAGGGGCAAGCTCTGCATGTTGGCGCATTTCTAAGATACTCAGCAATCGAACGCAAGTCCACTTTTGCCTCCACCGAACAAGCCCCAAAAGATTCATCAACCCGCTGTTCAGATAGATCCCCCCCTCAACGACCTCCCCCGCCTCCATTCCCCCCGATGCCCCGATGGCCCCGCAAGACTCCAAACAGAAAGCCACCCTTCAGCAAGAAGCGAAGCTCCTTGCACATGTCGGAAATTGCGGCCCCTGGGGGCTTTGCCACGGCAGGCGAGCAGCCGTGCCAACCGGAGTTTCGTGCCCTCAAAGCTTCGTCGAGCCCGTCTGAGATCTCAATCCTCCACCTCCTGTGCTGCCTCCTCCGTAGTTTAGCACACTCCGTACGATACTGCTTGAGAACCTCGGACACCTCCTCTTCCTCCAGGTTGTTGCCTGCCCGAGAAAGCTGAAGACGAAACCCCAATGGTCTCTCAAGAAGAGCGCGGCGTTCAGCCGATTGTTCTTTGTAAAATTCTGAGCTACTGGCAAGCATGCTGCTGAAGAGACTAGCTGCGGTGTCCTTCAGCGCCTTGTTGAACATCTCGGAATACCGATCTGGCATGCCTTGAAAGAATTCCCAAGGGCCTTTGACTTATCCGGAACGGCCTTAGTGGCCCTTTGTTCCAGGAAATCTTGACGTCCCCCGGAGAATTCCAGAGCCTCGCAATTCCAGAATACCCTCCCATCATTTACTTCAGCGTGCTGTGTGAATCCCCGCCGAATGTTGCGGTGTAGCGGTACATGGTCTCGCGGGTGCCTAGTATGAATGCACCGAGGTTCGCGCATAGCTCGCATAAGGGGGCCTCCTGGGGCCACAAGCGGGGCAGCGGCAGCAGGACCAACAATTTAGTCGACTCTGCTCTGGGAAGTATTGTCATTCCCATACCAAGCAGGCTCCAGCCGCTCACTGAATCCTAGAAGAAACCCGCACTCCTCCATCAACGCCTTTACTTGTTCACCCGCTCATCCACATATCAGCTCACTCTTGCTAAAGTATTTGGATGCCGTGTTCGTGTTCGTGTGGACCCACCTCCCTTCCCTCCGCGATAGTCCCACCCCGTCGTTAAGATCCATACTGACGATAGGCCACACGCGAGAGTGGTGAGACAAAGCCGAGCGTAAGTACTGTGCGGAGCCAAGTCACCGATCTGTCAGCAGTCGCTGTATACTTGGACCTGCCACGGGCGCCTCGAGGTCTCGGGGGACATAGGAGCCAACGATCGCCATGTCGAAACGCGAGTGTTTTACGCGTATGCCTAGCCCTCTGCCTCCAAGCGTAGCGGGCGGGAGCCAGTGCCGCACGATACGCTTCTCACGAAGTCCGCAGCTCAATGTCATCGCAATT